ACCAACTGATTGCATTATTCTTTCTTTCCAATCTAATTTTTAGGGGTGCTGGGTGGTTCAGCCGGATGAGTGTGTCCGACTCTTGACCTCAACTCAGGGTCGTGAGTTCAAGCCCCACATTGGGCTCCATGCTGGGTGTGGAGCCTAGTTTAAAAAATATGTATGTGTGTATATATATACATCCCTAACTGGCTTTGAGCCCTGGGTTAATACTATTTGTCTGAAAATTTGTAAAGAAATTAAAATTCATAGAGACTGAAAGAGTATGTGTTTGTCACACAATATTGGATATGCTTCTTCCTGTTTTCTCTGCAAATAAACACATTTGTTTTAGGCACTGAAATTAATACAGTAAAACCAGTGGGTTTCAGCAGTCTCTTCTACTTGATAAGGTTAATTACATTTCGAAACGGAAGCTTTAGCTAACAGGGCCCGCCTCTGTCACCGCACACAGGGGCACTAATCCGCGGGCCTTGTCAGGACACACCCAAGGCAGCACGGAGGAGGGGACAGAGAACCGGACACAATGGGGTTCACCTAGGAGGGGTGTGAAGCCCCTTCTGCCTCCTGCAGATTCTGCCTGGAAAGTAGGACTTTCCCTCACCCTGAGGCGTACTCCCGTTTCTCAGAGAGTCAGTGAAATTCTGTGCTATCTCGTGAGGGGACTGAGGACCCGTGGTGACAGCTGTGAGGCTCCGTGCTGGCGGGGGGCTGCAGCGCTTACTCCTTCTCCGTGAACCCGCAGGGGCGGGGCCTTCTCCGGCACCTTGGCTCTGACCTTGACCCTGTGTCCCTCGGTGTCTCCAGAGGCCCTTCTCCAAGAACAGGGCTGCCGAGGGTGCAGTGCATCCCCGGGGAAGTCACGGCACATCTGTGAGGCTGCGTGGTAGCAGCGGGTGCACCCCACACTGCTCCGTGAAGCTACACCCTCTGGGGCACGGGGGTGGGTTGGGGTTGGGGTGGGGGGTGAGGGGGGCAACACTGCGTTCTGGGACATCCACGAGAAAACTGCTCAGGTGCCCGCATGTAACTGGTTGTCCCTCCTGCACTCCACGTCACCCAGGAAAATATGTAAAGCAGGCAAAAACTGAAAGCCAGCACTCCCTAGTCCATTTAAACTTTCACGAAGTCCTTGCAGTACTGGCTGGGGGCGGGGGGCGGGGAGAGGAGGGGGGTGTTCCCTTGCTGCAAAGCCGCTGCCTTATTTAGGGACAGAAAACCAGCCAGTCCCGCTAGATCCCCAGTGGGCTGCCTCGTCTTCTCCGGAGCGCACTCCGATGCACGGGATGCTAAGGACACAAGTTGAGCTTTCTGCTCCACTCAACATCACCACTGACCACGTCACCCTCGGAGCTGGGGGAAGAACGAGTAAGCAGAACCTCTGCCCCTGGATGGGCTCACACCACCATGATGGAATATGCTGGCCACCCTGAACCTGAGAATGAGGAACCGTTAGGCAAACCCAAACAGGGCCATTGCCTAAAACTGGCCTGTATTCTTCAAAACCACAGTCCGAAAAGACAAAGGGGATTAAAGAGCAGCGGTGTGCAGGCACATGCTCAACAACAGGTTCCCGGGGGAAAAGGCCATGAGTTGCAGTGTTTGCCGATTTCCATGGTGGAAATACCTCCCCTCCCCCGCCGGCCAATTTCAAGCTGCCCATGTGACCATGCCCATGCCACTGAACGCAGACACGGAAGAGATGCACGGAGCTTCCACCAGACACACACGACATACCCAACCCCGCGAACTTACACAGCAGTAAGATGTAGTGACAACAAGGAAGTGCTGACTTGTGTGTTTACCTTTGTCTTAAAATATGTGTATGTAATTTAATTTCTAATAATGGCTGTGTCTCACAAAGAGCTTGCAAAATTCCTGGAAATCACCACCACCAAAGAAACAGGACAACTAAATGCAAAAGGCATTATTCCGGACTGGGTTTTAGATTTGGGGGAAAATGATATGAAAGACATTACTGATGGCTTGTATATTAATGTTAAATTTTCTGAGTTTGATACTCATATTGTGTGCATGTAAATACATGTGCTTGCTCTCAGGAAATGCATGTTGAAGTATTTGGAGGTGGTACTAGTGTCCAGGGCCACTGTAAAGAAGAAGCCCAAATTGGAAATTTATTTTCTCCCAGTTCTGGAGGCCAGAGGTCCGAAATCCAGGTGTTGGAAGGTGCCTGGAGACTCTGAGGGAGAATCCACTTAAGAAAACGAACAGCCAGGCTCCAGAATGGGAGGAAATATATGGAAGACAAGTATCTGACGGAAAACTAGTATCCAGGACGTGTAAGGAAGTCCTACCGCTCAGTAACAGATGCTAGACAGCTCAAATTCAAAAAAGGCAAAATACTTGGGCAGACACTTCACAAAAACGATCAGGAAGGGGCCGCAAGCACAGGGAGAGCTGCTCCACATCGCCGGACGCTGAGCAGCACCCGTGCAGAGGGGACCGTCCGCCCGCCCGCCGCCAACCTGACGGGATGGGAGGACTGGTACGTGCGCCACTGGCCAGAATGCACACGGGGCCGGCACGCTGGAGACGGCTCGGCAGCTTTTAGTTCGGCTCAACATACACCTGCTATAAATTCCAGAAACACCACTAATAACGGGAACGTGTGCTGGCCCCACACACGCCCACAGCAGCTTCGGGCCCGATGAAGTGACAAGAGCTCCAAGGTGCCGCCGGCCGCAGATGCCCGGGAACACTGGCTGTGACCCGCCATGCAGCGGACTCTGTCAGAAATACACGCAGCATGGACATCGCCAAACGTTACTGTGAATGTGGGCGGCACGGGCCCGGATGGCTTGACGTCTAGCGCTGGAGGCCAGGCCGGCACCTGGGACCAGGATATGGGGCCTCGCGGCCAAGGGACCGCAGCGTGTCCCCGGCTCTGTGCGGTCCCCGGCTGGCTGAAGCACCTGCAGGTCACCCAGCTGTCTCCTCCCCGGGTTCTTACTGTGTGTGAACTAGATCTCCGTGAGCGGCCAGAAGACAGGGTGCCCGCTACCCTTCTGGGGCACAAGCGCGATTCTGTTTCTGTCCGGGTGTCCGTGACGAGAGTGGGTTCCTCTGTGAAACACTAAGCTCCACGTGCATGTGCCCTTTGCCCCACCTAAAGCACTCTTTAATTCAGATAATGTTAAATAGAAAATATGCAGTTGGAGACAGAGGGTGAGGTTGTGCACAGGGGGACATGCACTTTAGTGCCGCTCCTGCCCAACAGGGACCGGCTTTCAAAGGCTGCATACGGATCGCCCACAGTTGTCACCCGCGGGAGAACACGGCTGAGTCACCGCACGGTCCTTCTGATGGCCCCTCGGTCCCCGGAGCCAGCCCACCACGTGCCGTGGCCACCTGTCCTCCAGCTCACGCGCTGACACAATGCTGTCCATGAGCAGCTGGCCTCTTCCCACAGCCAAAATGTCTACGCTCACAGGATGCACGAGACCCATCTGCAAATCTTTGTACTAGAGGAGAGTCCGACGCCATGGCAGCTGGACCCCCCTGCCCGCAGGGACACTGGCCCACCAGCAGGGCCCTCTGCGGCGGGTGTGGCGGCATCACCACTTACCCTGGGCCTGGGCCTTGTTTCATCCTCAGCTCACCGCCGCAGAGGTGAGGGACCGGGACCCGAGGGGGTCGCAGAACAGCAGCAAGTGAGAGAAACTCAGAGGAACACCCCCGGGCTTTTCTCAGAGGAAGTCAATGTCCTACAAGCACAGGAAGCGCGGACTTCCATGCACAAGAGTATCTATTTATCTGGGGGACGTTCCCCTCCAGCGCCCCACTCGGGAGCTCAGCTCCCGGCTCTCCCCTATCTGCTTACTCCTGCTCAGAGACTCCAGCGAGACCGGGGTGGGGAGGGGCTGGGGGGCCGCATGCTAACAATCCCCCCAGTGAGAGACCGGCTCCGGGCTGGTTCCCCGGGGCTGGAACGCTCTGGAGAACCCCCGGCTGTGGAGGGAACGGCTCACAGAGGAACTGCATTCTTGTCTCGACTTGCATCTGGTAAAAGCAGAGACGGGATGAAAGGGCTAACCTGTCCCAGCCGCCCTCCTGCGGTAACATCCTTGACTTGCCTAGAAGGCAGAGAAAGAAGAGAAGCTGGCAATTATCGAGAGCTTAAATGGTTTAGAGGAACCAAAAGAAAAGATATTCCACCAAGAACTTTACTGGTAACACCTTTTTAATAGGTCAAAGTAACTGTACAGTTCATTATATTCTTCCTGAGAATAATTTATATCCCCCGACAAACTAAAGGGAGGGTATATTTTTCAAAATTATTTAACAGAATGGATGGTGTAACTGGACATCAGAAAGAAAACCCAATCTCTCTGCTTTGCTTAGTCCTCTCCTGGGAAGACAGACACAACAAAGGGTTAGTTAGCTCCAGTGGCTGCAGGATAGTCAACATGGCTTTAATCTTTCTTTATAAATTATATAAAACTGGAAAACAGGGGTGGTTCCAGAACCGCTTCTCGATGCACTTTGGAGGCGCTCTGGTACAAAGCATTTCTGCTTCCAAGAGAAATAACATTGCTACAAAAAACTGGCACATTATTCTGGTGAAAAAAGACAAAAGTTTTAGTGTGTTCTATAGCTAGCTTCCAACCAGATCCTCACATGTCCGACAGGAGAGTAAAAGGCAGGAAAGACAAAAGGGTTGTTGTGTTTTTCTGAAAGGACTCAAGTCTTCAAAATATAGCTCTGATATTCTTTCTCTTAAAGTGGTGTTAGCATATTGCAACTCAGGAGTGTTCTCACAACAGAGACTCCAGTCTGGGCCATGGCTCTGCGGCACGCCAAAGAATTCTCAGCCCCTCGGGTTTCCCGGAATTCTCCGCCTCGTCTCCCCGTCTCCCAACATGCAGCCAAGCTGGTTCAGGATCCGCACGCCACTGCCTTGGCCATTTCCACGGAAACACACCCTAACGTGAACATGATCTGTTCTTCAGGATTCTTAAAAGCTTCTCACGAACAATTTTCATTCTCAGAAAAATGCCCCATTTTGGATCCTGGACTTTTCTGAACACTATGATTAAAAAAAAAAAAAAAAAGAAACAAAAAAAATGAACTCAAATCAAATGTGGTTAAACTTATATGAAAGAGATTTTCAACCAGCTGTCAGTCAGAGCCGTTGGCACGGTGAGTGCCGGCGGCCGAGGACCGCGGAGCCCCTCACTGCTGGTGGAACACGGGAGAACGTCCTCAGACAGCACCCCTCAGTGTGGCCTCGTCGGTCCGAGCATCCGCAGTCTCGCTTGGTCAATGACATCGAGTAAGTTTTTGGCGTCCACGGCCAGGGCGTGAGCCGCGGTCAGCATTTGCTTTTTGTACTCCTGCTGGAGACTGGTCATGACGTACTGCTGGGCCAGTTTCATCTTGTTGATGAGCTCACCCAGGTCGGAGTTCAACAGCTTCTGGGCCATCTCAATCTGGAAGGACAAGAGAGAGGTCAGGAGAGGCACGTTCCATCAGCTGTTCCTTGGGTGCCTCCAAGAGAAGACACTTTCTTCCCCTTATACAAATCTTCCACGCATCCCGCAGCCTTCTGCTCCTTCCACAAAAGCCCTCAGTGACTATTAACCTCAGTGACTGGTGGAGCTTTTGCTTCTTAAAAGAATCACGGTCTGGCAGAACCTCAGAGGCCACCCAGCCCAGAGCCCTCCCATCAGAGGGGACAGCTGAGGCAGACCTGCTCAGGTCCACCAGCCGCTGGCTTCCAGTCAGCACAAACACCTGGCTCTGGACTCACAACCACGTGTCAGGCCCCGCCTCTGCTGTGTAAGAGGCGACCCCCCTGGAATTGCTGAGAGGTGGGACCACGGCTGCAGAGCCGGAAGAAGCTGCCCTGAGGATCAGCGCGCTTTGCCTGGGTGTCTCAGGACCTTTCTCATCTGTTCATTCGACCAGTAATGACTTAGCACTCAGGCTTTTGATGATCACTGAGCACTCACACACGAGGGACTCAGTGGTGTGGACGCAAGTGTCTGAACACACTTGCACTCATCTAGTGTGAAGCCCGCATACAACTCCCTAGAACACACTGGGAAGAATCATACAACAGAAAGACAGCAATCCATTTGTTCTGAGAGGGTCAGACGACTTCACAGAGGAGAAGTCGTTTGAAATTGGCCTAGACTATAAAAGGAGGCTGGCCTCCTCTGAGGAGGGCCCCACGAGCCATGCCACGGTACCTCTGTCCTGCTGAACGTGCCAGTGGGGAGGCCGATGAGATTTTTAGGAAGGGGAACGCCATCCTCCACAGAGGTGTTCTGGAAAGAGGGCTCCGGTGGCAGAGTGTGAAAGGGGAAGGGAGGGGCGGGAAAACCAGAGGCAGAGAAGGGGGCTCCGAGGCTGCTGTGGGAACTGAGGGAAGAGGGGATGGTGACGGTGAGGGCGGAGAGGCCAGGCCCCGCCGCGACGCGATGATGCGGGCGGGAGGCTGCCTGTACGTGTGCGTGGGAGAGCGCGGTTCGCAGGGGCAGCTGTGGCAAGCGTGTGCGGGCCCCACTGACTGTGGAAACAAACCAGGAGCAGCAGAGGGTCCTGAGGAAGCGACGTCCAACAGGCAGCTGGTGACCCCAGCTCGGGGAGAGGTGCCACTGAAAGCACAGAGGCGGATGCATCAAATACCGGATCTACGGACGTGGTGGAGACCCACCAGTGAGAAGCAGCGTTCTGTAAGACGTGACGTGGGTGTCTTACACCCATGCAGCCCCTCGGGGGACGGCCACACTCAGGGTAGCGGGGAAGAGGGGCCAGGATTGGGGGAGCATGGCTGCTGGTGGCCCCGGGGAAGTTGCAGTAGAGAACTGGGGATGAGCTGGCCCGGGAAGACAGGCTGCTCTCTGAGGTAGTACGAGGGGGACCGAGGAAGGGGGAGAAAGATCAAAGAAAGCTCCTCTCCTTTTAAAAAATAATTAAGAATATATATGGGAGAGCGAGCTGTGTAGAAAAATCAGCGTAGACGGAGAGTTTACTTCAGGCTTTAACAGCTAAAGTAGTAATTTAGAAATGGCCCTGCCAAAATATTTACTTGTTAGGATACCATTTTCTTGCCTCTGGCAAATGGAACTTTTCCACTTTTTGGCAAAGTTCTTACTCACTGTGGAAGACCAATTAAAGTCCCAATGAAGCAGAGGAACAAGCTAATGCCCTAACCGGCTAGAAATAGAAAATTGCACTGTGCAGTCAGGCATTTTCCAAAATGATTTCGGTGGTTTCGTGCACGTGAACCGACACCCTTTACAAAGGAAGCATGTTGGGGGCTGTGCCAGGCTCATCAAGATGGGCATCAGCGGGCCACTGTCCCGAGAAGCACTCAGCCCCAATCTCATCAGGAGGAAACCTCAATTGTTACAGAACATCCCTCAACCCCACTTTAGGAATACTGTCTAAGGTAAATGGCCATATTCTTCCAAAATACTGACAGCAGAAAGATGAAGTCTGAGGACCTGCTCCAGGAGGAAGCAGACTACCAAACAAACGGGCGTGTGGCCTCGGGCAGGACACACAGCCCTGCCGGCCTTGAACTAGAGGGTGAAACTACTGGATGTGACCACCCACGAGGACCGTGCAGGGGTGCTGACAGCCCAGCTGTCCAAACTCTCCAGGTGAGAGAACAGCCTCCTGACTGGAGATACAAATGGAAACAAGGAAGGCAAGAAGCATGACACAGGTGACCTGCTCTCAAACGGTTCAGAGAAAGAGACGGCGGGTGTAGACAGCGACAGAGAATGTGGGAAATGTTAAAAGGCAGTGAAACTGGGTTAAGGATATTCAGGAATTCTCTGCGTTATTCTTGTAACTTTTCTTTAAGTTTGACATCACTTCAAATAGAAGACTAGCACCCACTAGGCTGTAGGGCTAGAGAGACTAGGAAAGTGGGCGAGGGAGCTGGGAGAGAAGGGGCGTGAGAAGGGCGAGCGGAGCCAGGGCTGTCACCGACTCCAGGGGGTAAAGCTCTATGTGCACGTGCGGCCCGGGCAGCACGTACCCTGGAGACCGGGGAGCACCCCTTGGAGGTCAGGGCACATCTCTGGAGGTTGGGATGTACCCCTGGAGGAGGCTGGGGAGCACGTCTGGAAACTGGCATGGCTGGGGGCATTTTTAAAAATAATGCAAGTGTGTCTGCTCATCTGTTAGTTCAACACCTGATGCAAAACGGCCAAAAATGGCAAACATGAGATTCCTGCTGAGAGACAGGATTTTGGGTGAACTCTGATTCCTTAAAAAAAATTTAAAACACACATATTAATTTAAAAGGCATTTTTTATCACTGCTGTATATGGAAAACCAGCATCATTTGCAAACTATAATTTTTTCAAAAAAATCCAACGGAGGAGGGCAGGCTCCTCCCGGCTCACTTCTGCCGTCCTTTGGCCTCAACCTGAGCGGGCGCTGAAGGAGCTGGCCCGCACCCAGCTCCGCCCCTGTGCTCCCCGCCGCCGTCCCCACAGCCACCTGTCCTCCGGGCCCCGACCCCCTGGCTTGGGAGCTGGGAGCGGGAGCGTGGGGTCTAACCAGCCCCAGTGGGTACCGCTCCGCACGGCCCCCCGGCGGGCACGCCACAACCACGGGCCGCCCTGGCTGGAAGGTCTTGACCTCAGAGCAGCGGGGGCATCACAGCCCCTGCGCGGGGCGCGTCCCACCACACTGTCTGAGCAGGAAGGGGCGCTGTGTCCTACCTCTCGGTGAGTGCTGGCTGGCAGGACTGGGAGGGTCTCGTCCACAGTGGCCAGTAACGTCCGCAGGGCCAGGCCGACTTCCTAGCAGACAAGACCACACCCGGGATCAGAGCACACGGAGAGCACGCTCCAGCAGCGACGCCTCCTCTCAGTTACGGGCTTGTCTCCTTTCCAACACTTCAAGGGCAATTTCTGTACTTCTTTCCTCAATACTGAGCCTGATCTGAAGTGATTAGGCTTTCCCCCAAAGACTGAGATCTCTGAATGCTCAGAATGTGATCTCTGATGGAAGATGAGGAAGGACATTCTGACACCTGCGACCGCGTGGATGAACCTCAGTGGGAGGAACCCGTCCCAAAAGGACAGATACAGCGGGACACCACTCCTCCTCTCCTCTGCAACCTGGAGTCCCCACGTTCACGGGGACAGGGAGGGGGTGGGGCACCAGGGGCCGGGGGAGGGGCGCTGCTGTTTAATGGGGACAGAGTGTCAGTTTTGCAAGGTGAGAGGAGTTTTGGACATTAGTTGTCTAACAATGTGAATGTCTTTCACACCACCGTAAGATTAACAGTGGCTAGGATGGTAAATTTTACGTTCTGTGTATTTTACCACACTTTAAAAAAGTGTGTTCAAGTATATGTTCCAGAAATACAGGCTTAAAGCAAAGCTTCATAGCACTCTTTGAACTGCAGAACCCCTCTGAGCTCGCGAATGCCAGTGTGCCCTGCTGGGGGGTGGCACCTAGCCTCCTTTCTCGCAGAGCTTCTGGTACTCTCTTCCAGGACACCACGCCCCCAGACACAGCTTGGCAAGGTTAGGCTAGTGCAGAATATTTTCATTTCTATCTTTTCACCTTATTAAAAAAGATTTCGTGAACACCCACATACCCACCCCTCCCTGGAAGAAAACAGCACAGATAAAGCCCCCATTGTCCCTCTCCACAACGGCCCCTCCCCCAGGGCAGCGTCTGAAGGTCAAGTGCTCTCCGTATGCGCAGGTGCTCCTGCAGCAGAGCCGCGTGTCCCCAAGGCACGCACAGCAAGGGTCTGCATGCTTTCAAACCTCACAGAAATGACATCCACCATAAGCTCATGTGATGCCACTTTGCAGCTCGGTTTTTCACGCAAGACGGTGAGTGAGCAGTGGCTGTTAAAGCCTGTGCTGCTCCAAGTCCGACACACCCGGTTGGACTCTGAGGGGCACCGCGGCACCCACGGGTCTAAGAACATTTCCTCCTGGCGGAGGGCTGGGTTTTACCTTCACCATGGGAACGTATTCCTCTGGCGGGGCTGGCTGGATCTTGCTAGACATCTCGATGACAGCCTTCACCAGGCCCGTCACATTCTCGTACACCCTGTCGTTGGACCGGTCCAGGTTGGCAGTGGGTGGGGGGCTGATTTCCTGCGGCTGAAGCTGCAACACAGAAGCCATTATGCCCCCAGCCCCCACAAGAGGGCGGCACCTCACCGCAGCTAAGTTACAGAGGGTCTTTAAAAGAGATCAAAGTGGATCACAATTGATTGGCTTGTCTGCGTGGCTACAGCTCAGTTGGGAGGATGACAGTCAAGTAATTCATCCAAGTGACAAGGGAACGAGGCAATCATTTTTTGTAACTTTGAGCTCAGTTAAAGGAAATGAAGTGGAATCATACCCATGATGCTAAAAGCCCCAGATTCTTTCAGAGTAGTGATTTGACGCCCCCCACCAAATCATTCACCAAGATTAAGAATTCATGTGTTCTATGTCTCTCTGAGGATTTCATGGGAAGCTGGCTATAGGGGGTCAAACATTCTATGTTAAGACTCTAAGAAATCCTGCTTAGTCTGACTCCTGCCGTCAGAACTGTATGGCTCAGCGCGGCTGCCTCCAGACCACTTCACAGACACGTGTGTCCCCTTTACGACTGGAACAAGCGGACAGATACGAGCCTCGTGAAGTGGACCCCGTCTGCTTGCACCATGTTGCAGCAGTGAGGGCCGTGGCGGTGGCGCCAGGAGCCCCGAGGTGCACATGCCACTGGCCGGGCCTCGGCTCCTCACATGGCCATCGGGGCGAGGGGGACCTGAAGGAGCTCTTGGGCACAGGCCCTCCCCAGTGCCCGGGCACCGAGACACCGATGAATGTTACCCGCGAGAAGGAGAGCGAGCGCAGGGCCTGCGGAACATGTCCAACAGCATTTGAAAGTTCATATGGGTAACACCAGGCACAGAAAGGGCTGTGTGTGTCTCCTTTAAGAAAACTAAAGTGCAGTACATAATCATAGCTGCCTGCTGATGGGTCTGCTGCCAGCGCTCAGTCGAAACCTCTAGATGCCCATTCTGAACCTTCGGGCTGACTCTGTCTGAGGAACCGGGAGCCCCGTGTTCAAGTCTGGTGCGAGACAGCCACGGACAGGAATAGTTCAGTCCCTGCAAAGATGTTCATGCCTCACACTCTGGCAAATAAAGACCTTGTCTCTGGTGATAAGCCAAGCAAAAGTGCCCTCCCCAGGCTCCCTGATTTCTGCTCCAGAGTCACATGCAGAGCGCTAGGAGGGAAGGAGTGGGACAGACACACAGACACAATGTGCTTACCCTCCATGGCTATTGTTGAACGGGAGGTGAGGAAAAGTTAGAGAAATTTATCAGAGAAGGGGAAAAAAGAAAAACAGTATTAATAAAGGCAGCAGACAAACCCCCCACAAAAACACATGAGCAGAACCAAAAGGAACGAGTTTGAAGCCTGCCTAGGAGCCAGTCCCCGGTTCCCTGGTCATCCAGGCACAACAGCTGGGCCATTGGTCCCGGGTGCTGGCGCACTCGGTAAGGAGGCCTGCCATGTGCCATGCTTGTTTTCATGAAGTAAATGAGGAAAACAACACGCAAAGCCAGAGAGGAACAACCTGGCAGCCATGCGAGTAGCAAAGCATTAGGGGTCCTCAGAAAGAAGAGGCCTTTAAATGTGCTTGACATCCCTGAGAACTGCCCGTCGGGCTTCTGGGCCACTGAGACTGTCCCACCCCGGCACCCCGTGCCCAGCCCCTGACCTCCCTGGACACAGGCTTTGCCATTAGCTATCCCACCATAATCAAGATCCCTGGCTTGGGGCTGGTTGTAAAGACATCAGGAGCTTATTTTAAAAAAAACAAAAACAAAACAAACTAAAAAAACAAACAACAAATCCTTCTTTTGAGCCAAGTCTTACGTTTCAGGCTCCTTTATTTTAAACTTAGAAGTTTTATTTAGTGCTCTTTCCTCCACAGCTTACACCAAGGCCATCCTATTCCTATTGTAACTTAAAAGACTAAGTTAATTGGGGAAAGGTGGTTATCTTGCCCCCTCAGTTATGTCTGAAACAGGTGTACCCTTTGGTATAGGAGTTCAGCAGAATCTTAAATTTCAAGACCCAACCTTCCACAGTGTTTTCCCTGCATTAGAAAGAGGGAGATCACTTCAAGAGAGGACATCCCTGTCTCTTCCCTTCTGCACTGAGAGTCACACGCGGCCCTGCGATGAACTCGGCAGATGTGCCACTTCAGACTGGATCAACATAAAGGCGCAGCTTCCGCAACAGGTGCCACAGGCGGGGCTCCATCAGGAAGAACTGCGGCCATTCTGGACTCCAGGAGGCAAAGGCTGCTTTATACTAAACTATTTAAAGCTTCTGTTCTTCTGTATGTGCCCTGTGCCCAATCAAGGTGGGTCACAGAAGCACTGTCCCTGTGCCTCCAGCCACCATGCACAGTAACGCACCCAAAGCCAAAGCTTTGCTACTGGTTTCCTAGTTTCTGGGGCCAACTTGGAGGTCCCTTGGCAGATAATTGGGATAAAGCACCACTCCCCAAAGACATACACAATTCCAACCGCTGAGGTGGGTGCTTCAAGCTCAAATAATCCAGAATCGAAACAAAGCCACCAAAGGAGAAACCGAGATGGATTTCGGATTAAATGTTATCTGGATGAGTTCCATTAGTTACACCCAGCAACAAGCATTTCTGTATTAAGACAGCATTGTTCTTTTAGGCTGGATTCAGTAACCTCTACTGAACAGGCGGATAAGGAAGAACTAGAGACATATATACTTCATATTTATTTTTTTAAGTAGGCTCCATGCCCAGCACAAAGCCCAATGAACTCACGATCCTGAGATTAAGACCCTGAGATCAAGAGTCAGACACGTAACGGCTGAGTCACCCAGGCACCCCTACTTCATTATTAAAGAAATCTTTACTTAATGCATTTTAGGTAAGCATGCTATATCCATCATGATTTCTACTTGCCTAACACCCTCTTTAAGGGTATTTTCCAATTATAGTCATTCACGTTATTACAAATGTAAAGGCAAACATATGTGGGAATTCTGAGCTGGTATCTGAGCTCCTTCTCAAGTTGGTTTTTCCTTGTAATACAAGCCATTTTGGAAAGTTTCCTCTTGTGGCTCATGTAAATGACAAACTTCATTAACCTAATTTCTCCTTCTTCCCTTTTTAAATTTATGTCAAGAAACCACATTAGGAAGGGCCGTGTCCCCCTTTGCTCTTCCTCAGAGAATACCCCATGCAGTGCCCCTGAGCTGGGGCGGGGGGGGCCACAGGATGCCAAGCCCCGGGCCGAGCTCCAGGACCAGCGCTCTGGTTTCTGGGGGCTGACCACCAGCCCTCAGAGCTGGGGTGCCTCTGACCCAGTGGTGCCTGGGCTACATCCCTCAGGGGGCAGGCGGGGCCAGCCAGGGTCAGCCTGTTCACTCCCTGCTCACTGCCCCTCTGGGCTGGAGATGGCATTTTCTCTGCCGAGGGCTTCCTCTCTTCTCTCTGGGAATCAGCCCAGCCTACTGGCTAAATGCTGGCTCAGCTGGGGAGCCTGTAACCTTGAATATGCCCTTTAACCTCTGTGAACGTTGCCGTGTCATGTGAAAAGTAGAAACAATACTACCACCACCAATCCTGTGAGGCTGATGTGAGGACAGGCTCTGTCACAGCATATGGTTCAGGGAGGGCAAGCCACGAGGGTGGTTATTGGTGAAACAAAGTTTCTCTTAACTGATAACATAGTTACCAGGTTCTAAGATCCCACCCACTGCAGGAGGCACCTTTTTAATGTTCCTCTAAGGAAAAAAAAGCTGCCAATTAAACCAACACATCACCCTGATTTTAGAGATGTTAAAATGTACAAAAAAGGTATATCAGAATTAAGAAACAAGACATATTTTGAGAGATCCTCTCATTAAATGGGCATGAGAGAGAAGGAGAACCCTTGCCTTTGCTTCTTGTGAGAGGAGAGCTGCTTCCAAGGGGCCCGGAGGCCAACGCGGCAGGGTCTGGTGGAGGCCAGGGACGGAGGCCAGGGACGGGGGTGGTCAGGAGCCCTGACGGCCCCCCTCACACGTAGCAGGGCAGGCTGTGCGTGCAGCGCTCCTGAGCCAAGGAGAAGCTGGGGCTGTCAGCACCTGAGCCACACGCTCCCCTCCTCCGAGGGCTGGTTCCACGCAGCCCACGCCACTTTACAACAAATGCAGTCCTCGCCCCAGGTGGAAAACGGTGGCAGTTTTCCACTAAAGCCACACCGACACACTTAAGAGACAGTGAACCCGCAGAAGGGTTCCCTTTCCCCAGGCATCCTGGTTTAATTAATGTTTAAAACCAGAAGCCATCCCAGCACTGTAGTCCCAAGAAACATTCTGCCTGATAAGAGAAAAACCTTTATCTAGGAACTCAGGCTCTGACTGAGGCCCGACTTTATCATGTGAGAGAAAACCAGACAAGACAGGCTCCTGTCAAGCTTGCTCCAGGCTCTTGGGAGGGGTGCAGAGCCCTACCAAACGGACGCCTGGGGCCCACAGCAGCACCACTCCACTCATTCCGTCCTCAGCACGGACTCCACTTCAAGTTCCTGATCACCAACCCCGAAGCGAAAGGCCCCACAGAGCCCTGAGCAGAGCTCGGCTCAGATGCCCACCTTGACGCCCTCGTTGTAACTGTCCCCGGGGCTGCTGAGGCTGGCGAGGCTGCCCAGGTGACCGGGGGCCCCAGGCCGTGGCGGTTTCTTTGGCGGAGCTGCAGGATCTGGTAAATGGGGAGGAGTCCCGTTAGATGAGGCACGGTAATACACCGAACAGAAACCCCCCAGATAACACCTGGCATGGAGTCATGTTACTACAACGTACACGTATCTTGGAGCGCACATCCCACCGAGGCGCTCCTGATGCATTACAGCAATATGTTCTGTTCCCTAACATTCCAGTCATCGGCTGAATTTGGTAAACATCACACTTGCTTTGGTCCATAGAGGAAAAAGTGTTCAAAAATCATGAGGTATTCCAAAGCTCAAAAACTCTGTATATTTAAAAGTTGCTCCCTCTAAATTATAAAAACTTCTTGACAAGATAATTCATTTCTTCACTTACCTGGTTTCCCCACAGGCTGATATATGTGTTGGTTTCCAGTCTGTGGGAAAACAAAAGCTCCGTCACCAGCGTTCACTACAGGCCACGGCCTTCCCTCCCTCCCTCCCCCTCTGTCCCCTTGAACATCTGTGCAAAGTGCTGGGTTCAAAGACCAACGCGATGGGGGGCTGCCTTCAAGGCCTGATTGGGGGCGGGGGGCTTACAAACAGCCAGAATGCCAGCAGGTGTGGGAAAAGGGCTGTGAGGGGGCAAGCGAGGGACGGGACGGGAACAGGGACGGGAGTCCTCACGGCCAATTAGAATTTCCTTCTAAAACAATGACATCCATGGATGCCTCCAGTGCACCTTCCGGAGTGTGAAATCCGGGCCTTCGCAGCGTCTGGGTCCTGTGCTCAGAAGCTGCCTCACAGCCTCCCGGATGTTCTCCTCACAGGGACGGGTACAGGCGGGGACGGTGACAGCGGGAGACTCTGTGGCACCGGGCTATTGTGTATGCCTGTGCTGTCACTGTCACCCGAAGCCCTTGCGTGTCAGGATGTGCTGCTACAGCTCCATCCATTCGGGACCAAGCCACAGGCCCGGCCAACAAGCCAACCGCAAGCCCAGAATTTCCACCCCGAGGACAGGACAAAAGACTGTCCCACTGAAGGCCAGCCTGCCGCGGGCTGTCACAGCTGCAGTCCCACGGCAAACAACCTACCCTAGGATAGCTAAACGAAACTTAGTCTTTTTAGAACCACATTCTACTTCCGAAGAGACTTACCTTGCTTAATTTAAAATAATAAACTAATTGAAAAAATATATTTTAAGGTGCTTTACTTTCTGCTGTAAAGAGATCTACCGTTGTGAAATGCACAATGAAAACGGTTCCTCTCCCGGAAACACACCTACTGTCAACACGCTGTTTCACAGCCCATCTGAAAGGCTCCCGAACCCGCAGAGCTGGGGACGAGGGCTCCCTCACAGCTGACTCTGCAGCCCTTCACCGTCAACCTAGCGTGTACTATTATTACTGTTACAGAACACCTGCTTTGTTCTGGGCACAGAACCACCCCCCCCCGCCCCGGGAGTGGCCGGGGTAACACAGACAGCCAGAGAGACAGTAACAGCAGGTACACACAACAGCACATCGCCACGGCCGCCGGAAAAGGGACATGGGGGTGGAGTGGGAGGGGAGGACACGGCAGGTCTCAGTGGGAAGATCAGGCCTTCTGAGAACGTGACCTTTGCACACGTTGGGTGGGGGAAGCCGTGAAGAAATCTGGGAGGAGAGCGGCCCAGAGACAGGGCATCCCCCGGGAGGGGCAGATAGCATGGGAGGGACCAGGCGGCCAGGGCAGCTGGAGGATGAGTGTGTAAAACAGCAGGAAACATGGCCAAAACTCTAAAAGCAGACATAGTCTGTGAGCTGTGTTGTGTTCACTGATCCAGGCAGTAAAATACACACATTTAACAAGACTTAAAACACAAAGAATTTTCTGGTTGGTACCCAGGTTACAAGAAAACTCAATTAACTAGAAAATTCTAAGAACATTCTGGATTAATTCAGCAAAAGTATGTATAATGTACTGTGTTAGGCCATTCCACAGGTCGCTCTGGGAGGGAAGGCACGGAAAAGTCCCTGCTTTCAGAAGTCTGACGGACGAGCATGTGGTCAGGCTGCGTTCTGGTTCTGTCGCAAATCTAGCTATGGGCCTTGGGCCTTGGAGAAGATTGTAGATTTTAAGTAGGCATGAGCTAGTGAACGAACACTAATAACTGGCTAGTGGAAACTGACCCCATCAACTTGCATAAAAGTAAAAACCATTCGGATTTTCAAAATAACATACAAGTTGACAGCATGTTCATCTTGTGACGACATCCCTGTATTAGGCATATGTATTAGGAACATTATCAGCCTCAGTTAACGAACTGGAAAACCAAAGCCCCAAACAGTTGAATGACTTCTCCCTGAAGCCACGGCACATTTTCCAAAAGTGTTAATTTGGAGCATTTCAAGAAGTGGGCCAAATCAGATTGTTATCTAAATTTAGCAAAGAACAGAAGAGGGAAAAGCAGAATGCTCACGGTGTGTTACCAGCCTTCCGGAAGGAAGCGGCCACAACCTAAACCACATCCCTTGCAGTGAGCAAGTGCAGTCTGGCATCTGGCACCGTGATGGGTCACCTTGAGCAAGTTTTCTACAAGCCTCAGTTTACCCCTTCGAGGAGTGTGGATGACAACAGGCCTGACTTGACAGGAGTGCTGGGGTCTTAGGGAGGTGGTATGAGGACAGCACTCAGCATAGCACCTTGTAGCACTAAGTACCTTCTCATCAGTACTAAGCGCTCTCACTGTTGCCGAGGCCTGGGCAACAAGGTTGCAAGAGGACCTGTCCCGCGTTGTCTGTTCCACAGAAGAACCCTTCTATCCATGTCTAATTCACTCCCCGATTCTCTCATTCCACATGCTTTCTGGGGGCCTGTTATGTGCCACCTACTGGAACACACATGATTTCCCTTTTCTAATAAAGTATCCTAGTAGTGGTGCTCTGAATAGCCAGTCCCTTGAATACGGTTTACCTTCACTCTGATGCTCAGTCTTACCATGGTGGCCCACCATGCTGGTGACCGAGCACATCTTCCGGGGGCCAGATCTCAGGGGCAGCTGGATTTCACAGTACAGATTAGAGAAAACTCCTGGTAGGCCATTCCATACTATGTATCTTGGAGCGGGATGATGACCCAGTCTTGTGTATGTACGCATGTGCATTTGGAAGTAAATCCAGAAGCCTTATTAGGGCTTTATCTCCATTGGTCTGTTACCTGGCAGGTACTGGTTTCTCTTCTGTACTGGGAACTTCATCTCATGTTCAGAGAAATCTGCTTTTATTTCACTCAGACATCTGCTGATGGAAATCTTAATAAAACGATTTAAACTATTCTCCCTAAAAGATTAGAGAATATTTCTCGCATGCTTTAAACATATTTGGAATAACCATAAACTAGCTCTTTAAAGAGAATTTCAGGCATTTCACCCTACAACACACAGAAGAAAAAAAAAATCTTGGACAAGTTTCCTGTAATTGTAGAAACTCATAAGCAGGCACTAAGAGTGCAAACATGTAGCAAAGGACAGTGGACATGTGTCAACAGTATTTTCTGTAGAGCACAGAGCTGCTAGAGCTGCTACTATGAAGCTGTGTGAGTAAGGGGGGGCGTCCAGTGCCAGGTTGTGCACTGCTGCAGGTTCTGATGATCTTGGCCGATCGGATTCCTGTGTTCCATGCTACGAAGATCAGTGAGTGTGGGTATCTTATGACACAAAGTGATGGCCTACGTCTGTCCTGGCAAGTCCTGGCAAGAACTGGGCAGCTGCTTACCGGACCCTGGAGACTTCCATCCTCCCTGTCGATACTGCCTCGAGAGAGCCGCACGTCAGGTTTCTAAAGCAAAGAAAACAAAACCAGACAGTTCCATTCCTGGTTTGAAAATCATGGACATATTAAGTTCCTCCCTCATATGACACGAGTTTCTTCTAAACAGAGAATTCCACCCCAGGGTGAAAAAGAGCAGGTACCCACGCCTGCTTCCTGGCAGAGTAAGGCTCGTATGTACTTGGCTGTATTGCCGAAGCAGCAAATAGTCCAATTACACGCCACCCCTTTTCCCCACCCAGTGCAGCCACCATACAGAAGCCATACAGATAAATCTGGATTTACTATAAATAAGAGCATGCAAATTTCACTAATCCCACAATAGGCAAAGGAGATTACATGTCATCATGGTTCAGAGCGTGTTCAAAGGTCTGTTCCTCATGAAGCCCAGTACGTGCAGTGGCCTCCCGCCTGCTTGATACCCACCCTGTAGCCACGCTGACTCCTGCCTCCCCTTGCCTGTGCACTCTGGCCACAGACCCCTTCTCAGGGTGCACTTCCTACGGCCTCTCCAGACAGGACTGCTCCTTTCTTGGTCTTTGCCAGTCTGCTGTATCTTACAGAGATCCTCTCTGTGGCAGAAATCATGCAGTTATTACTTCCCTCATTCGACAGAGAACGTCTATGATGTCTGATTTGTCTTTGTTCACCCTACACCTGCAAGGGCCCGGCGCTGAGCACTGAGGACAGAACCCGTAAGCACTTGTGGGTGGCAGGGCCGGGGTGGTGGTGAGAAAGAAATGAGCTTTGTCTCTCCACCTTCTTATAAATGTATGTTTACAAAAATGAAACCATGCCATATAATTTTTATAACCTTTATATAACATTATATAGTAGAAATTGGTCAAAACCATGTTAAAAGTTGCAAGCCTCCCTCAACATGAAGGCTGTCATAAAAAGAAACCGACAGTGAGGCGAATGGGCTCTGGTATCAGGTGGCCTGGGTTCAGGTCTGGCTCCAACCCTTTCAAAGCTGTGTGACCTTGGCCTCAATTTCTTCAGCTTCAAAACAGGGCAGTTATAGTACCCGCTGTGCAGGCTTGATGGGAGTATTAAATGAATGAATACTGCAAAGTACTAGATCAGTGCCACAAGAATGTCATGTAAAAGAAATAGTTCTGTCTGTTGAATGGTGAGGCCATTTTCAAAATTTCGATTGTATAAATAGGTTGTTGATGAGGACTTCTGTATAGAAATGTTTGATTAAATCCCTGATAATTTCCCTAGGACAGAGTTCTAAGATGGAACTACTGAGTCAGAGGGTTTGAACATTTGAAAAATCCTGGGTATAAGCTGCCCAACTGCTGGGTGGTCTGGATTTACTTCTGTCAGTAGGCTCTCTCTAGGCCCTACACCACTGCACTGCCATTTAAAACTTAGCCAATTCAATAAACAAAATACTCTATAAATCTGCCCTCCTTTCCTAAACAATAGAACCCTTCCACTTCTCACTGGATGCTGGGCCCCATGCGGACAGGGGCCATGGGCTGTCAGCTTCCCCCATGATCTCCATGACTTGGTAGAAACAGGACACACAGGTGGGAGGCAATGAAGCGTCTGCATGATTGACTGTGAACAGTGGCCATGCCCCTTGGACAAGGCATTTAACCTCTCCAAACCCATTTCTCAGCTGGAAAAGGGGTAGGCTGCCTCATACAGTGACTATAAGGATTAAATATGTGCTTGGAACAGTCATGTGCATATCAGACATTTAGTAAATACTTGCTCAAGGATGCTGTAATAAAATACAAGGTAGAAAAGAGGTTTCACAGATGAGGAACTCCAAGCTCAGAAGGCAGAATTACAGGTACAACCCAGAGATATTGCAGGTTTGCTCCAGACGCCGCAGGAAAGCAAATATCACAGTAAAGCGAGTCAAATGAATGTTTGGTTTTCCAGTAGTGATCAAAGTTACATTTACACTATACCCTAGTCAATTAAGCCTGCAGCAGCCTTATGTCTAAAGCAGGATGTACATACTTGAATTAAAAGATACTTTGTTGCTAAAAATATACTAACCACATTGGCTGACTCTTCCTTTCGCTGAACGGTCTCTGTCTATAGCCTATGATGCTGTTTGACAGCATTTCACCCACAGAACTTCCTCCAAAACTGGCGCTCATCCTCTCAAACCCCGCTGCCGCCTTACTAACTAGGGCCATGGAATATTCTAGATCTTGTGTTCTCATTTCCCGTCTTCACAGCTTCCATCTCAGGAAAGTACACGTTCTTTGCTCCTCCTGAGGGGCACCTCCGCATCCATTAGTTCTAGCCCAAGATCGCGGCAATGCGGTCCCGGTTCCAGCTCCACTTGGGATTCTGGCTCTCCTGCTGTTGGCACCACATCTGCGGGGACGTCCTCCGCTGACGTCCTGAGCCCTCCATCATCCACGAGGGTTGGATCCACTTCTTCCAAACTCCTGTTACTGCTGACATCTTGACCTCTTCCCTCGAATCACGAATGTTCTTCACGGCATCTAGAATGACGAATCCTTTCCAGAAGGCTTTCAGTTGGCTTTGCCCAGATCCATCAGAGGAATCCCTATCCATGGCCGCTATCGCCTTCTTAAATAATAAGACTTGACAGTCAAAACTACTCCTTGATCCACTGGCTACAGAACGGATATTGTCAGCAGGTGTGAAAACAACACAAATCTCGTCGTCCATCTTCGGCAGAGCTCCTGGGTAACCAGGTGTATTGTCAGTGAGCAGTCATATTTTGAAAGGAATCTTTTTTTCTGAGCAGGTCTCAAGGGTGGGCTTAAAATATTCAGTAAATCATGTTGTAAACAGAGGATGGTCGTCCAGGCTTTCCTGTCCCACTGATGGAGCTGAGGCAGAGTAGATTAAGCATGATTCCCAAGGGCCCTAGGACTTCCAGAATGGCCACTGAGCACTGGCTTCATCTGACAGGCACCAGCTGCATGAGCCCCTATCAAGGGAGTCAGCCTGTCCTTTGCAGCTTTAAAGCCAGGCATTGACCTCTCCTCTCCAGCTGTGAAAGTCCTAGATGGCGTCTCCTTCCAGTAGAAGGCCGTTTCACCTACACTGAAAGTCTGTTGCTTAGTGCAGCCGCCTTCGTGAACGATCTGAGCTCGATCTTCTGGAGAACTCGAGGCAGCTCCTACGTCAGCACTTGCATGGTATGGAGACGTCCTTCCTTCAACCTCACGAACTGCTGTTGGCTTACAGCTGGTCTCCTGCAGCTTCCTCACCTCTCCCAGCCTTCACGGAATTGAAGAGAGTGTGGGCCTTGCTCTGGGTGAGGCTTTGGTTTAAGAGAATGCTGGGGCTGGTGTGATCTTCTCTCCAGACCAGTGAAACGTTCTCCATGTCGGCAACAAGGCTGTTTCGCTTTCTTACCATGCGTGTGTTCCCTGGACAAGCATGTATGATTTCCTTCCAGAACTTCTCCCTTGTGTTCACAGAGTGGCTGTGGGGTGCCAGAGGCCTGGCTTTCTGCCTGTCTGGGCTTTTGACATGTCTTCTCACTACGCTTGATCATTTCTAGCTTTCGATTTAAAGTGAGATGTATGACTTTTCCTTTCACCTGAGTGACCGAGGGGTCATTGCAGGGTTATTAGCTGGCCTAATTTCCATAGTGTTGTGTCTTAGGGAATAGGGCTGCCCGAGGAGAGGGAGAGAGAGATGGAATGGCCAGTTGCTGGAGCGGCCAGCACACAGACGTTTATTAAGTTTACCATCTTCTTTGGGTGCGGCTTATGGCACCACAAAATAATTACAATTGTAACCCCAAAGATCACAGATCATGGATCATCACAATAAATCTAATAATGATGAAAAAGTTTGAAGTACTGTGAGAACTACCAAAATATGACACAGACATGAAGTGAGCAAAATGCTGTTGGCAAAATGGCACCAACAGACTTGCTCAATGCAGGGTTTGCCACAAACCTTCAGTACGTAAAGAACAATGTCCGTGATGTGCAATAAAATGAGGTATGCCTGTAGCTGCTTGAAGCAACATGAGGTGCATTCAATCAGGCAATAACTATTTAGTGAGTACTCCTAACTGTAGGAAATAGACATTTTTAAAAGTACATTAGTTTATTTATTTATTTCTGGAAGCTCTACGCCCAATGTGGGGCTCGAACCCCTGACCTAGAGATCAAGCATGCTCTTCTGCATGAGCCAGCCAGGCGCTCTTACCTGTAGGAAATACTTTATTTACTTTTTTACTTAAACAAAAGCAAATGACACTGTTTGCTTATAGAATTAGGTGCTGTGTTTAATGTATTTACATGAATTATCTACTTATAGTTCCACATAAACCACATGAAATGACTTATTTTTCCTTATGCACAGTAATTCCCTCATGTTAAAACTTTCCCCAGGACAGGATTTCAATTTTAAAATGAGAAAGCCTGTCTATAGAAAGTCCACTTGTGTTCTATGAATGGAAATATTTAAGTTTTTTCCTCACATGGCCGACACAGTCTGAGAGATGAGTGCCAACTTGGGGAACTCAATGGAGCCAGTCAGCCCGTCAGAGAGAAGGGGTTCTGTTACTGGTTCTGCTCCTGGGTGAAGCTAAATTCTCCCGCTTCCTTCTTACAAAATATTCTAGATTTGAAGATAGTAATGTGAAAAGAAGAAATTTATATTTGAAATCTTACACAAATAGATCGCAAACATAAAAAATGTTTGGGGCTATTTGATTATTTCCCCCATCAGGTATGCCTTCTCCCTCCCTCCCTTCCTTTTTTATGCAGGTATAACATATACAATAAAGTGCACCAATCTTAAGTGTATGAGCTCGGTGCATTTTTAGAAATGTGTGCACCCACCTAACAGCAGCCCACCCAGCAGGCTCCAGTTGAGACCTGACCCCGCCTCACTGAGGGGACTGATCCTGACCGCCACCCCCAAGAGCTCTCACAAGTGGACTGCATAATGTGCACGGCCCTGTGTCCGGCGTCTTTGGTGGACATTATCTCTGTAAGCCCCGTCCCTGCGGATGTGTGCAGGGGTTTGCCCATTTTTATTGT